TCACTACCTTGTGTGATGCTCCCAGTTGCCCTCCCTGCTCTGACGGTGCAAATAGCATCCGTCCCCCCCGCTCCCTCCTGCCCCGGGTCTGAGCCCAGCCCAGTTGTGCTTTGGGTGGTTTGGTTTTAATCCAAATCAGCCACTTCCCAGGCTGCTGGGCTCCCCACAGGGCTCTGGAGGACTCCCGGGGCTGTGCCTTATCCATCCATCCTTTGATTGAAGATCAGGCACCTCTCCTTCACTTTCTAATCCATTTATAGGTGTCCCTGCTTAGTTTGAGAGCTTATCGGAGCCGGGCAGGCGGCTCTGCATCTCCTGGAAGACTCCTGGCTGTGGCCAGGGCAGAGGAAAATCCCCTAGATCCTCTTTTTCGCCACTTCTCTGGGATTTAAGGCCATGGCATACCTGCAGATGGGGGGAAAAGCTGCACTCCACAGTGTGACACTGCAGCTGGGAGCTGGGGACAGCTTGTCCTCATGGTCCCCAACCTCACCTGGTGCCTACCAGTGGCCCAGAAGCCAGGTGGCAGGGCAGCTGGGGCTGATAGAGGTACCTACAGGCAGGTGCTGCATAAATTTGTTCTTGTATTTTTATTCTGAAAGCATTAAAATCAGGCTGGCAAGTGCCCCCAGCCCTCTGTACTCAGCTAACCCTCACTGCTATCCTGTCTCGCTGCAAGGGCGTTGCTATTTTTGGTGGGAAATGCTCCTTTTTGCAGCCGTTCCCCAAGGAAGGACGGTTATCGTGGTCCCTTCTGTTTGCCATGGGGTGCTCCTGGCCTGGGAGCCTGGCTGGGGGGCACAGTGCAGGATCCAGACAGACATTCCTGGGGGGTGGAGAGCTTGGACAGGAGCATGAATCAAAGAAACTAACTCAGCAGTCAGAGTTTGTAATGTTCAGCAGTATTCCTCTATTTGCAGCGCTGGGGATGGCTCTGCCGTCAGTGCTCCAACGGACGAGCAAAACTGCAGAGAATAAATAGATGTTGCAAACTTCTACATATTTGGTAAATTCCCTGGAATTATTTGACATAAACATAAGATTTCCTGGAGCTCATTAATATATGCAAATGGCCTTTTGCTCATGCACAGAGGTTCTCCCTAGTAATCTTTAGATGGTCCCGGGATGAAGTAAGAAGTCTTCCTCAGTTTGCCTTGAACTTTCTTCTGATTCTGCACTGTGGTGTCCCTTTTTCTCCATTTTCTTGTCTTTGCATTGGCTCATTTCTTGATTAATGCCTGCAGATATTCTTCCTCACCTGATTGTTCTATTCCTAAACCATTATGGGTACAGTTAAACATTCAACCTCTGAGACACCTGATGGCCTTCCATCTATTGCCCAGCTATGCAACGTTCCAGAGTTAATTAAAAATTTTACAATAGAATCATAGAATCCCAGAATGGTTTGGATTGGAAGGGACCTTAGAGACCATCCAGTGCCACCCCTGGCCATGGGCAGGGACCCCTCCCACTAGCCCAGGTTGCCCAAACCCTCATCCAGCCTGGCCTTGAACCCCTCCAGGGATGGGGCATCCACAGCTTCTCTGGGCAACCTGGGCCACTGCCTCACCCCCTGCACAGGAAAACATTTATTCCTCACATCTCATCTCAATCTCCCCTCTTCCAATTTAAATAATTCAGCAGCTTTCCTTCAAGCACCCCGATGGGATGGGGTTGGGCAGGAGCTTTGTGCTGTGCCCTGGGAACGGAGCCACCACCACGCTCTGACCCGCTGACCCGCGGATCGCGTTGGGCTGGCCAGGGTGGGGGCTGCCTAGCTCTCTCGGGTGGATTTTCTCTCTCTTTTAATCTCTTTGCTTTTCGGGATGAAAGCCTGATTGTGGGTGCGATCTGTGCAGGCGACGCGGGGTGAGGAGGGCTGAGCGCTGGCAATCACCATCCCCAACGTGGCATCCCACTTCCCTTGCTGCCTCCGATGCCTTGTCCCATCCATCCCATGCTGCCTACTGCTCTGTTCACCCCACTGGGGAGAGCATCCACGTCCACAGCCCCACGGCTTCACCTGCCAGCCATGGGGCAGAGCAAGAGCTTTCCACCCTTTGCAGATCTGGGGACTTTGGATCCACAGAATCCCTGCCCACAGTGCTGGGACAACGTACACAGACATGCTGGGGACATTCCTGGGGCCATCATGGGTGTGAGGGTGCTTTTGCTGAGCTCCTTAAGCTTTGCTGCCTGTTTCCTGGTGTATTGAGGGATGGGGGGTGACATATCCCTAAATCTGAAGCAGCCAGCGATACACGGGCACCTAATCTGGCACCTCTCACTGCTGCTCTCAAACACTTCCCACTCGCTGGCATTCCCAGCCCTGCTTTAATCCATATGGATGCTCACGAGCCGCTCGCCGGCATTCCGAGCCCCACTCTAATCCATAGGGATGCTCACAAGCTGCTCGCCGGCATTCCCAGCCCCGCTCTAATCCATAGGGATGCTCGTGAGCTGCTCGCCAGCATTCCCAGCCCTGCTCTAATCCATAGGGATGCTCATGAGCTGCTCGCTGGCATTCCCAGCCTTGCTCTGATCCATATGGATGCTCACAAGCTGCTCGCCGACATTCCCAGCCCTGCTCTAATCCATAGGGATGCTCGCGAGCTGCTCGCCAGTGTTCCCAGCCCCACTATAATCTGTAGGGATGCTCACGAGCTGCTCGCCGGTATTCCCAGCCCCACTATAATCCATAGGGATGCTTGTGAACTGCTCGCCAGCATTCCCAGCCCCACTATAATCCATAGGGATGCTTGCGAGCTGCTCACCAGCATTCCCAGCCCTGCTATAATCTGTAGGGATGATTGCGAGCTGCTCGCCGGCATTCCCAGCCTCGCTATAATCTGTAGGGATGCTCACGAGCTGCTCCTGTGCGCGGTGCTTGCATAACCCAGCGGTGTGCATGCACATGTGCTTGTCGCCAGGCTCTTCAGAGCCTTAATCCCCACCGGCCGGGAGAGCTTGGCTCTGGGAAAGGCTCGTCCGGCCCCACCACCTCCTGGGGCGGCCGCTCTCAGTGGGGTTTGCTGCACATTGGGGGGCTGTGGGGTTGTCCGAGAGCAAGCATGGGATGGTGCCTGGGCATGGCAGGGGCTGGGGATGGAGGTTTTGGCGGGGCTTTGAGTGATTTGGGGACAACTGATGGGGACAGGGATGACCCTAGTGGTCCCTGGGGAAGCCATGGGGCAGGAGTGGGGCTGGGATGGAGTGAGGAGCTGGGTCGATACTGGGGTGAGGCTGGGGGGTGGCAGCAGCCCTGAGGCATGGTGATGGGCAGAAAAGCAGCTGTTTATAGGGACGAGGACTGGCTTTGACCGCTGCGATTGCTCTTCCTCTTCCTCCCCATAGTGGCATGCTTGGGTCCTATCCTGCTGTGGGGTCTCAGCATCACCAGTGACCATCCCCACCAACCCCAGGCTGAAAACCGCACCAGTGCGAGCAGTTTGGGATGGGAAAGGAGAGGGAAAATCGAGTTGGGACAAGCAGAGATTCAAAAGCTCTTCATTTCTTGGAGGGACATCAGCTGGTGCAAGAGATTTCACTTTGAGCTGAGCAGAGCATTTGGTTCAACCTAAGCTTCAATATTTTCCTTCGGTTTTAACGGGTTTTATTTGTTTAACTTGAAAATTCAAGTGAAAGAGAATTTCACACTGTAATACTGCTCTAAGCCCCCAGTCGAAATTTGGTTTGTTAATGCTCCATCAAACCCTTCTCAGCTTCTTCTGAAACCCTTTTCCTTTTTAAGTTCTTCTCAGCAGCACTGTGAAACTCGTGTAAATTCATGAAACATTTCCACATTTGCATTTTTCACCCCCAAAAATCCTGACTGCAAAGTGTCACTCAGCCCTGGCACCGCTTGGTGACTGAAAGAGCAACTGAGAGCAAGGGGAGCATGCTCCTGGGCTAACCCAGGTGCTTGGCTTTCATTTTTTTTTTTTTTTTAAGGGAAAATGAACTTTCCTGCATCCTAGGAACTTCACAGTGGGTTTTCTTTCCCCTCTGACGCAGTCATGGGTGCGATTGGTCTGTTTCAGAGGAGCGCATCATATCCCAGAGGATGTGCTGGCTTTGCAGCTCTGCTTTGGCATCGCTCCATGCGCAGCTCGGGACTGGTGGCACCTGCCACACCTGCTGGGCCCCATCTCTCTCAGCTGGGATCTTATGGGTTCTTATGGGGTGCCCCATAAGAAGCTCGATGGGGCCCCACATGCTGGACTGGGGCAGATATTGCTCATTCCTTTGGAAAGAGATTTTGGATGATGCCAGGTCCTGAGGCTGTGTCAGAGGCTGGCTTGGGACCAGGGGACCCATCCTGGCCGGCTGTGGCTTTGGAGGGAGCTGTAGCCTGATGGAATGCTCCAAGGTGGGTGCTGTGCTGGATTGTATCAAGGGGACGGTGGGGATGGAAGCATGCTGATGGTCGTGACTGGGATGCTTTAAATGCCATCGAGCACTTCTGGAATGGTAGAGCAGTTTCTGGTGTTGTTGGTCATCAAACCAGATGGATAAATGCTGGGATGCTACGTTCCCCCTTCTTCAAAGCACTTAGGGAAGCCAGGAACAGATCACCTCCAGCCTGGCTGTGCTTCACCACTGACTTCTCAGTGTTCCCACCGGTGTCCCCATCTCTTACTGGTTGGGTTTAGATGCGAGATGCTGGAGGTCCCGGTGTCAGGACTGGGGCACTGGCTCCATCTCCATCCCGCCTCCCCGCTCACAGCCGTGCCCTGGTTTCTGCAGGAGTTTGCAACGCTGACGCGGGAGCTCAGTGCATGCCGGGAGCAGCTCCTGGAGAGGGAAGAGGAGATCTCGGAGCTGAAAGCCGAACGCAATAACACCCGGGTAAGCACAGCAAACCTGCTGCATGGCTTTCAGTCCCCAGAAATGTGGGATGTCGCACAGTCGCATCGCCAGCCCCCGGGGTGGTGCGAGCCTCGTGCTTCCCCTCTTGCAGCTCTTGCTGGAGCACCTGGAGTGCCTGGTGTCGAGGCATGAGCGGTCCCTGAGGATGACCGTGGTCAAACGTCAGGCTCAGTCACCGTCCGGTGTCTCCAGCGAGGTCGAGGTGCTGAAGGCACTCAAGTCACTCTTTGAGCATCACAAGGCGCTGGATGAAAAGGTGAGTCAGGCTGCTGGGACATCTCCTGCCCTCGTGCCGTGAGCATCCCCTGCTCAGAACTGACCTCTCAAACCTCCTCCTCCCTCCCCCTGGTGCCATTTATTGTTGTTTAGCTGGGTGGTGACATGGGGTCCCTCAGAAGGAAGGTCTGGGGTGTCCAGAAGCTGCAGCACCCTTGTTTTAGGAGCCTGGGGGGCTGCTGAGTGGGTGCTGTGGGTTTGAGGCTGTTGGGGACAGGGAGCTTACTTCCCCGGGTCACTTACATGGTGGTGGTGAGTGCTGCATTTGGCACCCAGGTTCAGTCTTTGCATGAGAACTCATATTGTTCCTCCAAATTCATTTACCTCGAGCAGCTCCTTGCTCTGCTAAAAGACGTCTTCAAGCTGCCCCAGCCGTGGGTCTCCTGCAAGAATCGGTTAATCAGTTTGGTCCAGGCTGTTCCTCTCCAACGTGCTTTTGATCTCCCAGGCGATGGGCTGGAGCATCACTGAGCCTGTGCCCTGGTCGTGAATCCACCTGAACCTGGCTGTCCACCAGAAAAAAGGGGCTGGGAGCTTGCCTAGATCCTGGGCACCCTCCTCCTGGTTAAATAATGACTTTTCCTGTTTTATTGCACAACTGCAGGTTAGGGAACGCTTGCGAGCAGCTTTGGAGCGAGTGGCAACCTTGGAGGAGCAGCTCGTGGATGCCCATCGGCAGGTAAGAGGTGTCTGAGCCCTTGCTGGGTGCCCGCTGGGCTGGGACTGCTCCGTGTTCTGGTTTTGAATGCATGTTGAATTTGCTGAAATACCACCCTCAAATCATCGTGCAGATTGGAGAAGTGGTCTTTGGGCATTTTTAACGTCAAGCTTTTATTCTAAAATTGCTTTTTACATGAAGGCTTGCCTGTATTAAAGGAAACCTTGTAAATATTCAGAAAATTTTTGTCTCCTGGGCAAGGTTTCCTCTGTTGTTTTGCTATTTGGTGTTCATTTCACTGACAAAAACAACCTGAACTGGAGTCATTTAAGGGGGCTGAGAGTAACTTGGCTTGTTGGCTTTTCCTCTGCCTCCGCAGAGACTCAAACCTCGCTGCTCCGAGCACCCCGTCCTGCATCCCCTGTTCCTTTCCTTGCTCGAGCCCTGGTGTGGCGACATCTCTGTCCCCAACATTTAGCCCTGATCATCTTGGAGATGGTGAACCGTGCCTTCCTTCCTGAAGTTTGTGCCCAACCACTGCTGCCTAAAGGAAAGAGCCATCCTCATAGCCTCTGCCTGGCCAAATTTTGCTCCTTTTTCCAGTTCCCAGGATGTATCTCACGTGTGTCCCCAGGCTGGGGGGGAGGCAGTGCTAGGCCTTCGCTCGTCTTGCAGGGACCTCTCCCCATCCTTCCCCAGGGGAGCAGGGACTGATGTTGGTGTTTATCCCCTGTTCCTGCTGGTGACATCTGCACCGGGTTTGGAGTCTGTCTGGCTGCAAAGTAGTTAGGAGGGAATCCTGGGATCCAGGTCTCAGGTCTTGGAGGGCTCAACCGGAAAAACTTACTGCTGGGGCTTGGGCTCTTTGCGTGCCTGCAGCGAGCACTGCTGTGTCCAGGTGTGATGGGTTTGCCCTTGGCTGGGAGCCAACCCCACACATCCGTTCACTCACCCTCCCCTCACCCAAGGATGGGGGAGAGAATTCAAGGGGTAAAGGGAAAAAGGATTCGTGGGTTGAGATAAGAACAATTTAATAACTAAACTACAATAATATTGAAAATAATCCTATATACAAATACACAAATGAGTGATACACAGTGATACTGCCCCCCACCTGATGACCAAGGCTCAGCCTGTTCCCGGCTAACGATCCCGGAGAGTCCCGAAACCGCGCTCACAGAACAGAGATAACAGTCCGAGCGTCCCAGACCGAGAGCTGACCAGGGTGGGGGTGGGAAGGTCTTGGGAGAGGGACCACCTGGAGCGAGATGACCTGGAGCAAAAGGGATCCGGAACAAAAAGGGACGAGCTTCTGGAGGGTCCTCACCTATATACTGGGCATGACGTGTATGTTATGGAATAGAGGAGTGGCCACTTTGGGTCTCAATCCCGAACCTAAGATCAAATCCTGGGCTGGTCACTGGGGCTGTGCTCCCTCCCATCTTCTCCTGCCTGTGTAGAGAAGCTGAAAGACCTTTGCAGCAGCATAAGCATCCCTGTTATCAGCTTTCTTCTGAGCACAAATCCAAACACAGTCTCTTGCCAGCTATTATGAAGAAAGTTAACTCTATCTCAGCTGAACCCAGGACACCATGCAAGATGTGGCTTCATCCTCCATCAGCCTTCACAGCATCTCTGCCTTTCCCTCTCTTCTTCACCCCATCCCTCCAGTTCCCCCCCAGCCACAGGCACTGGCTGAATATGATGCTGGCAGAAGCTGGCAGGAAGCTGGTTGCGGACCTGGATGCACCAGGGCTGACCTCACCCGCGGCCAGACCAGCTGGTCTCATCTGCTTTCCCTCGTTAATTAAGGCCTGTTGTCATGCAGGTGGCAGCTCTGCAGCAAGGTGCTGCACGGGAGGCCCCGGCGGGTGAGCGGGATGAGAGGGAGCCCAAGGAGCCGGCACAGAAGCTTCCCTGGAAGGTGAGAGCCCCAGAAACCCCTGCTCTGACCCTGCTCATCGAGGCCATCCTTTCTCCAACCCTCTTGTCACTGACTCCAGGGTGCTGAAAACTTTTTTGCCCTCTCCCCTGGGTCCAGGCCCCTGGGAAATGCCCTTCTTGGTGGATACAGGTCTGAGTAGAGGGGAATTTGTGCTCCTGCTCGGATGCTCCTAGGGACTCTGCTTCCCAGAAATGCTCTGGGAGGCCTTCAGCCATCCCTATTCCCTCGTGCCTGTGAGAAGCCACATCCCTGGCTAGCAGAGACTGTTGACAGGGGGTCCCAGAGCCCCAAGTCCCCCATCCCCACCGCCTCACTGGGTCCCTGCAGGGCCACGTTCCCCCGCTGCGTAGCTGCAGGCAATGCCAGCCCGTCCTTTGGGGCAGCCCGGCATCCGCCTCCCTCTCTGCTGCCTTGCAGCGGCTCTCCAACGGCTCCGTCCACCCGGACAATGAGGCAGGGCGGGTGGTGGAGCTGCAGGAGCTCCTGGAGAAGCAGAATTTCGAAGTGGTCCAGGCCAAGGAGCGCATCTCTGCGTTGGCTGCCAGCGTCGCCGAGCTGGAGGAGGATCTGGGCACCGCCAGGAAGGATCTGATCAAATCGGAGGAGATGAGCAGCAAGTACCAGAGGGACCTCCGAGAGGTTAGACACTGCCCTCTCGCACTGCCAAGCCCGTTGCAGTTGCAGAGACGTTCACAGCAGCTTCCACGTGCTCTGGGCTGGGAAGGGATTGTGATCCCTGTTGTATGCAGGGTGAAGGCTAGTGTTCCCCAAAAGAGGCCACTGCCTTTGGGAGATTGTCCCCAGGTCCATCCTCTGAGGTTATAAGCAGACACTGAGATACCCCGGTGTGCTGCAGACCTGGGGCAGGGAGCTGTGGCCGTGCTAGAAGGTTTTTCTGGGATTGCCTGACTCTCCCTCTATTGCTCTCCCATTCTGCTGTCCCTCACTCCTGTGCAGAGCAGGGTTTTCATCGCATGCTTGGACTCGGGGATGTCCCACCCTCCCAGGAGCTGGGTTCCCAGTTATTCCCAAATTGGTGGTCACAGATCAGAATGTGACAGCCCTATGGCTTCTCCAGGCCCTGGCTCAGAAAGAGGATATGGAGGAGAGGATCACCACGCTGGAGAAACGCTACCTGGCAGCCCAGCGAGAAGCCACCTCCATCCACGACCTCAACGACAAGTTAGAAAGCGAGTTGGCTAACAAGGAGTCCCTGCACCGCCAGGTACCACAGCTGGACCCAAAGGCTCCCCACCACCCTGGGGAAATGGGAGGGAGATGCAAGTGCTGGGAATGGGAGCAGCGGGTAAAGCTTATGTGCTGGGCACCCATCCTGCCCTGTCCCGCAGTGCGAGGAGAAAGCCCGGCACCTGCAGGAGCTGCTGGAGCTGGCGGAGCAGAAGCTACAGCAGACGATGCGGAAAGCGGAGACGCTGCCCGAGGTGGAAGCGGAGCTGGCCCAGCGCATCGCTGCACTCACCAAGGCAAGTGTGCGCGGTGCTCAGAGACGGCTGGGACAGCAGAGAGTGCAGGAACCAGAGGAAATTCCTCTGAGGAAGAGGCAGGTTTGGCCAAGCCCTCCAGCGAGGGACCCCCTGGCAGGGCCAGAGCACCCTGCTCCTGTTCCCAGCCTCTGCGCTTTGTTGTCCTCTGCCTCCCCTGTGGCTGCAGGGATAATGCAGGGGCTTCGAAGCTTCTGATATGTCCTGCGCACAAGGGGTTTGCTCCCTTCCCTCAGCTCCTTTCTCCAAGGCAGAGGTGGCCCTGTCGGTGTGGGTGGCCTTTGCCTTGTGCTGGGACCGCTCTGGGATGAGGAAGAAGAGAGGGACCCAGGCTGGATCTGGGAGGGTGCAGGCCTGGAGGGAGGTGTGGGTAGAGCCAGCCCTGCCCTTCCTGGGCACTGGAACGGGTGCTGAGTCCCTCACAGAGCACCTCCATCTCCCATCACCCTGCTATCAGGGCTGGTTTGGGTGCCCAGTGAACCCTGGCAGGGCTAGAGGCGGTGGGAGGGAGCACTGCACCCCAGGGAAGGATGCTGATGCAGGGATGGAGGGATGCAGGAGAACCCGCATGGTTTTTGTGAGTGTCATCCGAGAGGGCTGCTCTGCTTTTCCCAGGCAGAAGAGAGGCATGGGAGCATCGAGGAGCACCTTCGGCAGCTGGAGAGTCAGCTGGAGGAGAAGAACCAGGAGCTGGCCAGGGTAAGCACTGCTCAGCCTGGACCGGGGAGTCCTTGCGGGTCCTGATCCGGCCCTGGTGGTCCTGATCCTTGCCATGGTGCCTGGGTACCCCAGCACACCACAAAGGGCTGACGCTTGCTGGTGTCGCTGAAGGAGGATGGGGAGAGGACCCTGGTTAATCCTTTCCTATCCAGGATCTCTTAAAGTAGAGCCCCCCCAGGAGCTCGTGATTTCCCCCTCTCCCAGGCATCCAAGTCTTGCTGTTAACATGCCACATCCACTCCTCTCCCAGCATCACCCACTGGGCCAAGGTGGGACCCCAAATTCAGGGTGGAGGGGGAAGCTCCAGCTGCTTTTCCCCCCAGCCTGGATCAGCGTCAGGGCGAGACCGATGGGTGCTGGGAGCAAAGGGTGCTACCCTCAGAAAGACGGGGAGGCTGAGCCGGTGCATCACGGGATGCACAGTCCCTGCAGAGCTCCTTAGCCAGTGCCTGGGCTGTCCACAGAGGAGGCTGTGATGCCCATTTCTTGGGTTGCCCAGGTGACATTACAGCTTGTGCCCCTGGTGAGGCCTCTGGTGGGTTTGCCCTTGGCTGGGAGCCAACCCACACACCGGTTTGCTCACCCTCCCCCCTCCTGAGGATGGGGGAGAGAATTAAAGGGGTGAAGGGAAAAAGGACTCATGGGTTGAGATAAGAACAATTTAATAACTAAACTGCAATGATATTGAAAATAATCCTATATACAAATATACAAATGAGTGATACACAGTGATACTGTCCCTCTACCTCCCGATGACCAAGGCTTAGCTCATTCCCGGCTAACAATCTCAGAGCAGCCCGAGCATCCCAGACTGAGAGCTGACCGAGGGAGGGAGACGACCCTGGGAGAGGGACCACCTGATGCGAGAGGACCTGGACAAAAGGGATCTGGAACCAAAAGGGACGAGGTTCCGGAGGGTCCTCACCTATATACCGGGCATGCCGTGGATGATATGGAATAGAGCATTGGCCACTTTGGGTCTCGATCCTGAACCTAAGATCAAATCCTGGGCTAGTAACTGGGGCTGTGCTCCCTCCCAGCTTCTCCTGCCTGCAGAGAGAAGCTGAAAGACTTTGAATATCCTGTCAACAAATCTAAACATCACTGTTATCAGCTTTCTTCTGAGCACAAATCCAAATACAGCCTCTTGCCAGCTACGGTGAAGAAAGTTAACTCTGTCCCAGCTGAACCCAGGCCAAAGCCCCTGGTTGTTTTCGTCTATGGCATGGATTTGGAGAGACCTTTGCAAATCCCAAGGATCAGCACCCGTTAGGGTCTGGAATGTGCTCCCAGTGTGGCTGTCCCTGGCAGATGCACAGGTCAGACTTCCCTGAGGGTCAGGCAGGCAGGATCTCCTTGGATGTTGTCCCCTCTCCTGTTCATCCCTGGCTGGGAAGTGGCAGAGACCGGCAGAGCCCCAGCGGAGGGTCCGATCTGTGCTGTAAGGGGTGGATTTGTCCCCAAAAGCTGGGCCTGGGGGATCAGCTGTGACAACACCAGCAGGCAGGGGATGGCAGGAGGGTGCTGAGCCCCTCGTGGCAGGAGGAGCCGATCCGCTGGGTCTGACGGGGCCGGTTGCCGTTTGCTGTTACAGGCCCGCCAGCGAGAGAAGATGAACGAGGAGCACAACAAGCGGCTCTCGGACACCGTGGACCGTCTGCTGAGCGAGTCCAACGAGCGGCTGCAGCTGCACCTCAAGGAGAGAATGGCGGCCTTGGAGGAGAAGGTAGTAGCTGGGGGCCAGGGGGTCTTCTGGGGGGCTTGAGGGGTCCACAGCCTCTCCGTCACGGACCCTCAGCCAGCTGCACGGCAGGGGTTTGGAAGTACTGTTTTGCCAATCGACGGGGTTAGCACAAAGGACACAGGCACCAAATTAAAGAAGTTATCTTGTTTTTACTTACATTTGAAGTGATAAAATAATGAGGAAAATAATACAGTGAAAAAAAGCAAGATAAGGTAAAGCAGCAAAATAATAAGGGAACTACTGTTGCAAGGATGAAATAAGGTAATGCACCTAATCATTACTACATAGAGTTAGCAATAGTGATTAAGAAAGATCCATCACCAATTGCCCTCATAATACATTACCACCATCGAGATTTGCCGTCCAAGGATTTGGAGAACCCTTCCCGACAATTGGGAAACCTCCACACAGTCCGTCCACTGTATAGATGAGGCTTCCAAATTTTCCTGCAAATGTTCCTCACTTTATTATACAGTTGAATAAACAACTTTCTATCTTAAACTGTGAAAAACATCTGGTGTGGTTTTCTCCTTGTTAACTTCTGTCTTGAGCCTGGCTGGGGCAGGAGAGGGAAGATAACAAGAACAAAAGAATCTAGTAATCATGATTATGCATCTCTCAACAAAGCTTGTCACGACTTGCCACATTCCTTTGCCTTCTGTGGCATTAGAGTACATCTGTGCTTAATTTTGGCTACTGTTACACAATGAGTATCTTTCTGCTGACTAATCTTACACGGCAAGCGTTACAGCAAAGCTCTATAAGCATTACAACAAAAATTTCATAAATTGGCATATATAAATGAGGTAATACATTGCATATGTGATCAATATTATACATATTAGATATATTGTTAGGTTGTGAGGTTCATCTAGAGGTCAGCTTTGGAGCTGGTATTTCAAGTACCTGTGCAGGGCTGGAGAAATGATCACATGCAGGATGCCAGCTGGGTGCTGGGGCTGGTGGGAGCTTGAGGAAGCATGTTCTGCATTGCACCCTCGCCTCCAGCCAGCCCCGCGCCCGGTAAGACCCACTCCCCACCACCTTTCACCTCTGACAGCAGCAGGATTTGTCCTGCTCCATTCCTTCACTTCCCTGTGTCTCTTCTGGAGCAGCCTTGACTGCAGCCTGTGCCTGGCTGTTAGAGCAAAACCCTCATGCATTTTGCAGGAGAAGATGCAGCGTTCATCCTCTCCCACCTGCCCATCCCCTCCACGTGCTGCCTTGAAACCTTCCTGTCCCCCAAGTTTGGACTGATCTACCTGCTCCAAGCCAGGGCAGAGTCCATGAGCAGCCTCTCAGCTCCCACCCTGCTCTTCCTGGGCATCTGGGCTTTCCTTTGAGGAACCAGCTGGAGCTGCTTCTGCCCCAGCATGACTGCAATTAGCTGGGAGAGCAGGTGGCTCGGAGCAGGGATTAACCTCACAATGTCCATGGGAGGTCAGGCCTTGCTAATTCACCTCTGTTTGGGTTCCTGCAGGGACCAGCTCCCCTTAACCAGTCAGAGCACAGAGGGGTTGCATCCCCCAGCTGATGCCTCCAGGACTGGGGCTGTCTCCCCTGCTGCTCTGCACATCCTGTCCCCAACGAGATGTGGCTGTGGCAGCGTGTCCAGTTATCCAGCAGACAGATCTGAGTGGCTCTGGATAAAGAGCAGGACCCAGCACGTGAGGTTGAGTCCAAATTCCCACCCCAGCAAGCAGCAGGGACCAGAGCGGTGGCACCTTGTGAAGGGTCAGCATCTGCTCCCCAGCACTGGCTCACCCCAAGAGTTTCTCCAGGTCTCCCATAGGCAAAAACAATCCTGTTTGGCTGTCAGCACTTCCCAAAAAAGAGCACTAGGTCAGGCAGTTGCAAACACATCTTCTTTTCCCCCTGCCTATTAGATGGAGGGGACATTTTTGCCCTTGATCCAGCTGCTCGAGGAGTTGATCTCCTCTCAGACATATTTCCTGATCTTCAAGCCCTGCCCATCAAATCTCTAATCACCGCTTGCCCTCCATAGCCATGCCCCGGCCCTGGTGTAGGGCAGGAGTTGAGCTACAGCAGCCCTGCTTGAGGAGCAGGAGGTTTGCAGAGAAGACCGGTTCACAGGCAGGCGGGTGAGGAATAGCTCAAGGAGCTGTTGCCATCCCTCCTGCCAGGCGTCCATCACACCATCCACGCAGCGATTCCACGCTGGCCATGCCCGGGAGGCCTCACAACCATTTTCTAAACGGTCTCTCTTTTTTTCTTTCCTGTTTTTGTTTCCTTTTGTTTCGTGTTTTTTTTTTTTTCAAAGAACACATTGTTACAAGAGCTGGAAAATACCCAAAAGCAGATAGAGGAACACCAGCACGACAAGGTAAATGCTGCTGCGGGGAGCTTGCCCTAGGGACTGCGCTTCCTCACTCCTAACCCCTGGCTAGTGGCACTAAAATACCCCAGTTTCGGAGGAGCTGGGATCCCAAAGTGCCCAGCAGCAGGAGGCCACACACTAACCCACGCAGTGGCTGGATGGAAGCTGCCACCCACCTCCTTGGAGACCCCTGGTTGGGTTCCCTAACAGGCACGTTCAGTCCCGTCTCCATATTTCTATCATTCCATCCATCCCCGACTCCCCGCCGAGGCCAGGGCGGCTTCGCCCACGTGGCCAGAGGAGGGTTTACCCCAACACTCCTTGGTGCAGCCCGCCTGCCAGGGACACTGCTGCTCAGGCAGCCACGTCCCCAAGGCTTTCTCGACCCCCTCCATCAAACTGGGGGAAGATCTGCTCCGTTCCCACCTTGCACAAGGTCCTGTAGGTCTTTGCACCTCCCCTGCTCTCAAATAAAGCATAAAGTAGGTTCTGCAATATGTGTCCTCGTTGGCTCGTGCTGGAAAGCTGGAGGGTTGCAGCTTTTTGAAGCAACAGGAGCTTTTGGGATGTACCCCACATCTCATGCATGGTTGGGGAGATCGGGGGGCTGCTTTCCCTCTTGCCCGGGGCTGTGCTCTCCCAGACGCTCCCTGCCCACGGCGAGGATGTGCGGCTGCTGCTCCCATTCCCCAGCCGCGGCTGCTCAGCTCCAGGCACAGCTCAGAGACTTGCATGCCGCTGCTGCATGTCCCCTGCCCTGGTTCAGCATGTTTGCCCACAGGACTGGATAATGCTGTGCCCGGAGGATCCCATCATCTCCCCTGCCTCCCCACCCACCCACAGCCTCCCCCTTGCATCTCCCGCAGGACAGCATGGCCACTCAGTGCAGGGACAGGTTCCCCATGAGGATGGGGCCGGCAGCAGGAGGGACAGGGCCAGCATCACATTTGGCGAGTGGGTCCCTCACTGTCAGCCCTTTGCCAAGGGGAACGTGTGTGCCCGGAGGATCCCATCATCTCCCCTGCCTCCCCACCCACCCACAGCCTCCCCCTTGCATCTCCCGCAGGACAGCATGGCCACTCAGTGCAGGGACAGGTTCCCCATGAGGATGGGGCCGGCAGCAGGAGGGACAGGGCCAGCATCACATTTGGCGAGTGGGTCCCTCACTGTCAGCCCTTTGCCAAGGGGAACGTGGGTGTGCGGTCTGGAGCAAAACCAGAGCATCCCAGTGGGACCGATTTTCCTTCATCTCTCAAACCGCCATCGCTTTGAGCATGCGTCTGTCTGGCTGGCTTGTGATCGCTTCCTCCCTTCGCGGCATCGCCCCGGCATCGCCATTTCACTGTTGCCTGCATGAGCTGTTTCTATACCAATGTGGCAAAGGTGCTTTAAACGTGGGATAGGGATTTTTAAAGGGAATATAAACCTGGAAATAGCTGAGGATAAGGGTTGCCCCAAACCTGGCTGCTCCTCAGAGCAAAACCAACCCCTGCCTGTCTCTTGTCTCACCCCGAACAGCGGCGGTTGTCCGACGAGATTGACAAACTGAGGCTGGAGGTCGATCAGCTCAAGACCAGAAGTGGGACGTTTGTGGAAAGCGTGCACACAAGGTAAGGTCCACCTGCCAAAGCCCTGCCAGCCCGTGTGCACCCTGCTTGCATCCTGAACCCACAGCTTTGGGGGCATTTTGCTTTGAGGGCCCCAAAACTCTGTTGGCATCAGGCATTTCTGGTTTCACCAAGCTTCAGGGCAAGGCTGCAGGGTGGTTCATCGCAGCAGGGTCAGCTCCGCCTGTGCTGTCCCTGGCATGGGACACAGACTGTTGAGAATAGCCCAGCCCAACTGAATGGCCCCAGATTTGCTCTTCTAAGGGGGAAAAACTGCTGAGCATTGGGGTTTTTTTCTGCACAAAGTGCTTAGGGATTAATTTTCTATGAAAGCAGGGTGTTCACCAAATGCCTTTCCCCCTGTGGAGTGCTGGGGATGGGCTGGTGGAGGAGGAGGGACCTCTTTGGAGGTGTTGCATGCAGAGGAGAATGAACCCCCCTATTTTTTCCCCTCTTTTCTACAATGGTCCTCCCACACCCTTTCATTTAAAATGAGATGGGAGATGGGGATGTCCCAGCCCAGAGCACCAGGAGGAGAGGTGAGTCCATTGGGTCTCAGCCTCCGGCACTGACCGAGGTACTCAGCACCACTGCCAGAAACCAGAGGGGTAGAAAAGGAGGGTGCCAGCATGACACACACCCCACCGCGTCGCTGCGGCCGCCTGGGAGACCACGTCCTCTCCTGAGCACTTTCCACATGGGGTAGAGGCAGCGAGGGATCCCTGAGAGTGACCACCAGCGGGGAAAATCCACCTTTCGGGAAGGCTGGAAAAGATGGAAAGGAGCCAGTGTAACCAACTTCAAATATGTCAGCAGCTGTGGCGGAGAGGAGAGGGTCTGGAGGCCCCGTGTCTGCCTTGGAGCGAGGAAGAGCCTGTGAGGCTGAAGGACAGCTGAGTGCTAGAGGAGTGTCTGGACCATGTGTGGGACCTCTGTATGGGCCTGTAAGAACAGGATGGACAATTATTTATTTTTTTTTAATTTCTTGGAGGAAAAATCAGCAAAAAGCTTGAGTTACAGAGGCCAGAATAATCCCCCAGCTGAAATGTCAGCTTTTGTCTGAGGCACCATTATCTGTTTTTAGCTCGGGAGCAGCTTGTCAGTGGCTCCGCAGCTTAAATCTCCTTGAAACTCAGGCTGTGGCTTCGTCTGCAAACACTGAGCTGACGCCAAGCCAAGCTGCTCATGTTCGTGATTTTGTCTGGGCTCGGAAGGATGCTGGGGTGGGGAGCCCAGATCCGTATCTGCGCTGCAAACCAGAACCACCAAGGTGGAAAAACCTGATCTGCCTTGGACATCTGCTTTTGTCATCTTCAGTCAAAAAAACCTCATGCTTCCTATGGCAATGCATCTAGGGAGTAACGACCCTGTGCTCCGGGAAGGTGTGCTCAGCAGTGGTGTTGGGTCTTCAGGGCGAGGAGCAACCAGGCAGCACGGAGAGATGCAGTGAGTACCATGAGCAGCACAAAGTGGCCTCATGTCCAACAGCAGCCACTGTGTCGCTCTGCCTGGCATGGAGACCCGCTCCCGAGCACCAGCCCGAGAATGGAGGAGGAGGATGAAGAAGTCCCAGATGGTTTCTGCTGGGACATCCCAAACAGTGCTCCTGTCCCCGCACCTGGAAGATCTGTTTCTAATGGGATTTTATTCATCAGGGTTTTTTTCATGAAAATGTTGAAACAAACATAAAAAGGAGAAAAGCTCCTTGGCTGGCCCCTGTTGTGCACCATGGGGATGGAGAAGACAGGCACAAATGTGTTGTACGTGTTGGGATGTACAAGCCGTTCTTGAGAGTGGAGGAAGGGAGGGGACTGTTCACCCCATGGCTTCACAGCAGACCCACTACGCAGGCTGGTTTTGGCCAGAAGTGCCTGGATGCCCCAGTGGGTACTGCAGCGAAGAGGGAGGTAGTAGCAGGGTAGGGCCCAGGGCTGTGCTTCCTATGGTCTGTGAGCACATCTCCAGGGCCAGCCTGGGAGGAATGGGGCACCTTTTTCCAGATCCTGGTTTTGCATCATTTCATACAGAGCAAGCAGACATCGCTGGGGTGGGCATCCCAGAGTGGCCTTGTCCTCCTCCTCTGTCCTGAGCCAGCCTGGGCTGTGAGGGGAGCAGCCCTAGGACAAGGAGGTCCTTGCGTGGAGCAGGGTCCACAACAGGGCTCTTTCTCCGTAGGTCCCATATGGGCAGCGCCACGGACCTGCGCTTCCCACTGAGCGCCGTGGTCCATGCCCCCGCCGAGCCCTTCGGGACAGCCCCGGGCTTGCCTCGGGCGCAGAAGGGCCGATTCGCCGCCAGGCGAGAGGAGCCAGCCAAGGTAATCCGTCTTCATGGCAGCATGGGGGCCGAGTGGGGCTTGGGGTCTCCTCCCCCCTTGCCCACTGGTGTCACATATCCCTGATTTGGGGACATGGGGTAATTTCCTTAACCTGGTGCATGGATGGGGGTAACATGATAGGAAGGGTTTCCCCACTGGCATTGTTTTGAAGTGTGACTGTTGTGTAGAGGCCTCCAGTTTGGCTTTTGGAGACATGAGGGTGCTGTGTGGGACCAGTGGACCTTGTTCCTCCAGGACTGGGAGCAGGCTCAGGCAGGCAGCGTCCTGGCCGCGGGACCTCATGCCTTTGACAGTGACCCTGACATCTCCGATGTGGACGAGGATGACCGCGAGGCGCTCTTCAGCTC